TTGTAATTTTCAATTCATATGTTTTTTTAATGATCCTTTGTTTTCTACAACTGATTGTGGTTGGTCTTTAATTATGATTAAGTTTAGCAACTTCTCGGTAAACATTCGAGCTCCGTTGCTTCAGCGGTGCGTTCTTCTCGTTCAGTCCAAAGCAGGCAGTCTGATTTAGGTTAGCCGCGCTCAGTCTGCCCCTCCTCTGAGACTGGCAGACTGAGCAGGGCAGATTGAGCACAGTTGACTGAAATCAGACCGCCTTCTCCGGACTGAACGAGAAGAACACACCGCTGAAGCAACGGAGCTCGAACGTCCAACGTAAAACTAACTTTACCGTGGTTTAATGTGGTGCTATGTTTGATTATGTTCGTTGTATTGTACGTCGCGACCGAGCTTCCCCCTCTCGGTACAGCAGCTCTGCAGACATTGCATGCTGCGGTCTTTCTTTGTGGTGTTTCTAGTGTAAAATACTTCCACACAGCGGACATGTTTCGATTAAAACTTAGTTAGCTGTTAGCCACAGTGCTAACTCAGTCCTCACGTTGTAGCTGGCTGCAAACTATGAAATGGATTTCCTGAATGTGAGGCGGGTCGTATTACTCTGAGTTCATGAGACACGCCTCCGTTCAGGAAATCCATTCCATAGTTTGAAGCCAATGTGCAGAGCAGCCGGCAGGGAATCACATGTGGAGACGTTTCAACAGACATAGATATGCATCATGGATCGTAAATCTCTGCAGGTTGGATTAGAAAAATCCGATGCGCAAATTATGCTGGTTTTGGACGCCGATACTGGCTCGGATCGGCTCCATTCCTAGATACAATGCAAGTTAGGTGTCAGATTCATAACACGTTCTAGTGAGCCTTCATGTTGGTGAACAAAAATAAAAGTGACAGTTCAGTCAATTTAAAATGGGGTTCTGTGCTAATCAATATCTGACCTGTTGTAGATAGAAGGGCTAAGACCAAGTGATTTGCTGTCATCTTAAAACCATTTCATTTCACAGTTTCAAATGGAGTTTTGCATATTTGAAACTGTTGTAAGACCCCCCCCCCCCCCCCACACACACACACACACACACTCACATTTAAATTACTGGCAGTTACGGTATACTGTACTGTAATGTTTCTGGAAGTGATGCACCTGACCTGCCTTGCACCTGACCTGCCTTGTTGCTCAATGAAAAGTAAAGAGACATGTCCAGGAAGCAGACTGTTCAGATGCTGTCTTTACGTCATGGTTGTGCAACATGAGTTGGTGAGATTAGAGCCGGTTATTTTTTTTTTACAATACAGATGTATAGTATAAATATTTTCATGTAGGATTTTTGACTCAAACCAAATGGTCTCTTAGCAATTACAGGCTGCGTTGAAACATTTAGTTTTAAAAATGAAAGAAACCAGTTTAACTGGACAAGAGTTTCAGATTTAATCTGCTCAGCTGCTGTTGAAGATATATGTATTAAAAAAAGTCTTCTGACATGTACCATGACGTTTAAGCAATTTAAGTCCACTTTTGTATTACCTTTTGTCAAACATGTTTAAAACATTCAGGACATGATGTCGAAATGCTGTTAAGGAAACCACAAAGATGCTGTGTGGACTTTACCCAGACAGACACAAAACCAGGACCAATTCAAAGTCTGTTGTCTGATTGAGATCATTTTGTGACAAAGCTGTCCCCAGAGGCTGAGGATGTGATTTTATTGCTGAACATTGTTGCCACAACATGTCACAGGACAGAACGGTCATTGTATCATGTTCCGAGTGACAACATGTGGTGAGAGATCACTTCCTAGACTTTATGCAAATAAACACCTATGCAACGTGCCATCAGCTGTTAGTGGGCAGCAATCATTGCTTCACTAATGAGTCTATACAATGTTTTCTACATAGGCCTAAAATATATTTACTGATCTTAATACTAATATAGACAATACCACGTTTAAAATTTACCTGAGTCACTGTTATAGCTGCATGACAGTTTTACAGTAAGCTGTATTCTAACAAATGTGATAAGAGGGAGTTGTAAAAGGAACCAGACACGTCAACCTGTCCATATAGGTTGTAGAAAATGGATGATTAGTATTTTTTCTGGTGATCTCTTTAACAAACTG